GGGAGGCTGAGGCAGGAGAATGGCGTGAACCCAGGAGGTGGAGCTTGCAGTGGGCTGAGATTGCGCCACTGCACTCCAGCCTGGGTGACAGAGTGAGACTCCATCTCAAAAAAAAAAAAAAAAAAAAATTTTTTTGGAGATAGGGCCTCGCCTTGTCGCTCAGGCTGGAGTGCAGTGGTGCCATCATAGCTTGGTGCAACCTTGAACTCCTGGGCTCAGCAATATTCCCACCTCAGCCTCCCAAGGAGCCGGGACCACAGGTGTGCACCACCACACCTAGCCCAATTTATTAAGTATACTTTTTAGGAAGTTTTTTGAATAATAATATCAGTAGTTACTATGTGTTTGGGTAAAATAGAAAGGAAGGAAGCATATTTGATCATGTTTTGTTCCCAACACATATTAAAATTGGGAAGGATTCTTGTGTTACCTAAAACTGAAAGACAGCAGGTCTCAGGCACTTCTGCTTTCCCAAAGCTGCGTTTGTTTCCTTGCATGAGAGGATATGATGGCGCTCTCTTTACTGTTTTTTCCCAACAGAACTCCTCTTTCCTAAAATGGAGTCGAGTAAAAAGATGGACTCCCCTGGCCCGCTGCAGACTAATCCGCCGCTAAAGCTGCACACTGACCGCAGTGCTGGGACGCCGATTTTTGCCCCTGAACAAGGAGGTTACAAGGAGAAGTTTGTGAAGACCGTGGAGGACAAGTACAAGTGTGAGAAGTGCCGCCTGGTGCTGTGCAGCCCGAAGCAGACCGAGTGTGGGCACCGCTTCTGCGAGAGCTGCATGGCTGCCCTGCTGAGGTAGCACCTCGTCCGGCCCATCACCCTGCCCCTTCTCAGCCCTCGACTTCACCCTCTCCTTCATTCATTTCTCTAAAGCTACACCTCTAGAGGTTTAAAGCCCTAAAGAAGTCATAAAAGCCTCCAGGTCCAGCTCGTGAATCCTTTAGGGAGGTGCAGGGGGATTCCCACATCTGAGTTTACTGAGGCCTCTGCCTGTCTCTGACCTGCCCCGCCTGTGTCTTCCCACTCTGTCTGTAGAGTCTTGGTGCCTCTCATATGTGTTGCTGTATTTTATTGAGGAAGCTCACAGTTCCATGGAGGAGACACACCAGGAAATGACAAGCCAGTCGTTTAAGGGCACATGTACTGGTGTGCAAGGGTGCTACAGAGAGGAGGGGGGATGGGGTCAGCTTAAAGGACTGGGTAGGTCCCTAGGTGAGCAGAAACCTAGGCCGCATGCTTACTCAGCAGGCGCATGTGTTACATGCACCGAGCTCTTGGCAGCGCTTTGCTGCTGAGTGCCAGTGCTGGTGCTGCTGGCGGATCATGAAGGCAGGCTGGAGCTTTACTGCAGGATAGCATCGACCAGGAGAGCACCTTGATTCACCCTGCAGGCCTCATGTTTATGTTTTCTGGCGTTGTGCCGGGTGGTGGGGTTGCTGCAGGATGCCCTGGTCTTGGCCAATGCTGTCAGGGCACGTCAGCCTGGGAAGGTTGCCAGCTCCTCCTCCCACAACACTCAAGCCTGGGCTGCCCCCGAGCCCCAGCCTGGGCACAGCAGCCAGCCCCCTGCCCTGTCACCTGCCTTCACCCTCTCTCTTCTCCATGCTTCCCTCTGTGGTCTTACCCACTTATCCCAGTCAGCTCACCTTTGCCCACCTCTGGGCCCAGGAGAAGCTTCCTGGTGGAGGAGGGGCTGGAGCCCCCATATATGGTGGGCCACAGGGGAGGGAGGCTGGTCCCCCTATGCAAGTGTCATTGGCCTTCCAATAGACAGTGAAGCAAAATAGCCTGTGGAGAAGGGCTGGCTGCTTTTACAACACAGGAGCAAGGCTCTCCAGGTAAACGGTACTCACATCGAAGGGCTGCTCTGCAGACAGCTAGCTTTGGTTTCTGAAATAAAATTTCACTTTTACATTAAGTGGAAGAGGCTTTCCAAGTGGGGCTGAACTAAACTGTTCTACTTGGTAACTTCCTTTTGAAAAATCAGCATTTTGGCTGGGCGCGGTGGCTCACGCCTGTAATCCCAGCACTTTGGGAGGCCGAGGTGGGCGGATCACAAGGTCAGGAGATCGAGACCATCCTGGCTAACACGTGAAACCCCGTCTCTACTAAAAATACAAAAAAATTAGCTGGGCATGGTGGCGGGCGCCTGTAGTCCCAGCTACTCAGGAGGCTGAGGCAGGAGAATGGCGTGATCCCGGAAGGCGGAGCTTGCAGTGAGCCGAGATCACACCACTGTACTCCAGCCGGGGGAAAGAGCGAGACTCCGTCTCAAAAAAAAAAAAAAAAAAAAAAAAAATCAGCATTTAAAAAAATGTAGCCCTTTTTTCTCCCATGGCTTCCTTTGTAAAGTGAATCACCAGGGCGTCCTGATGCAGGACGTTGCTGTGAGCCACTGTGCAGACCTGACCATAAAGCGAATGCTCCCGGAATCTCCTGAGTCCCCTCAAGAAAGGGACTTTCACTCTAATGTAGTCACGTGTGTTTCCCTGCAGCTCATCAAGTCCAAAATGTACAGCGTGTCAAGAGAGCATCGTTAAAGATAAGGTATTCTGGTTTTTTTTTTTAATCATTTTGTCACATGTTTTCAGCTGGGTAGTACTTTTCACATAGTTTGCATTCGGCACTCTGGCACAACACATTCTCTCAGGTTTGGCAGCTGATGCGGCAGGCTCCCAGGCAGGGCACTGTGCCATGTGATCACCTGGGCAGGCAGTGGGTTCAGATCCACTTGGCCACTTCCCTACTGTGTGAGCTCCGTGAGCTACTTCACCCCCTCACCTGTAATAATAATCACATCGCCTGCCAAGACTGCAGAGAGCTGGTGTGAGGAGTAAGAGGGTCGATGTGAGCAAAGTGCCGAGATGCCTGTCCGTGGCAGGGCTGTCTGTGGTTGGGTCACTTCCGTCATTGCGGGTCTTTATCCTAGACAGCTTTTACTCAACTCTTACACTAGGTTTTACCTTCAGACTTGCTAGGCTGAGGGGTTCATTTGAGTTTGTGCTCCCTGCCCCCCATCCCCCTGTGATATCTTGAAGTCATTAGATATGAATGAGATTAGCCCCTTCTCGCCCCCTGTGGCTGTTCTCAGCTAGAACCCGTGGGCATCTCTGCACATTCAGAGGATAGGGCTGCCCAGCCTGCCACCAGCTTCTCTCCTGGGGCCTGGTCCTTCTCATGGAGACCGACAGTCATCCATGTGCTGCTACACCCTGCCAGGCCCACTTGGAGTTTGAAACAATTCATTCTTTTTTGTTGTTGTTGAGACAGAGTTTCGCTGTTGTCGCACAGGCTGGAGCACAATGGCACGATCTCGGCTCATTGCAACCTCCGCCTCCCGGGTTCAAGCAGTTCTCATGCCACAGCCTCCCAAGTAGCTGGGATTACAGGCACAAGCTACCACGCCCAGCTAATTTTTGTATTTTTAGTAGACACGGGGTTTCACCATGTTGGTTAGGCCAATCTCGATCTCCTGACCTCAGGTGATCCACCTGCCTCAACCTCCCAAAGTGCTGGGATTAGAGGCGTGAACCACTGCACCTAGCAATTCATTTTTAAAGTGCTTAAAATATCAGTAAAAATGTGTGTTTCCCTACTTTGAGTAATGAACCTAACCATTTTTTAAATGCAGGTCACTAAGTTGTACAATAAAATTCTTGCTCTGGGGTTTTCCTGTCTAAAGCACCTTGCAGATTGGGTTTGTTGGTCAGAGCAGCCCAGGTGAGTGCAGTGATTTGAGGATTGCTGGCAGTCAGCGTCCCTGGGCTGCCAGGCACAAGGGCATACAATATAGCCACTCTGGAAGGGGGAGAGGTGGAATTGGCCACCTGGGCCCTGTACCTTTTCTTTCTCCACGTTTACCTGCTACTGCTGAAGACTTGGTTAGTTCCTGTGAGGGAAAACAGCCCTCCCCTCCGCTCTGTGCCTTGTCCTAGCATGGTACCCGGCTGCCTTGTTAACATGTGCCTAACGTGTGAGTGAGAGAGAAGCTCGCAACGATGGCTGAGATTTTTTTTAGTATTTCTGTTTTGTTATGCAGAATCATTATCCCTATTTTTTAATGACATCAGTAGCTGAAGAAAAATGGCTAGTTTTATCAAATAATCATGAATGAGATTCACTCAAGTTGTGGACCCTCATGGAAAGAATGGAGCTGTCTGGGCCCCGGGTGACCCAGACCCCCACCCATCAGCAGGTCATCCAGGGGTAGGTGGGCCTCTGGTCTTCATCTGTAAACAGACATTTGGAGTAAATAGTCTCAGATCCTTTCCATTTCAAAGTTCTGTTGACTTTAGTATCTTAAGTCATGACCTTTTTTTTTTAAGTCATGTTTATGAAAGATAAGCTTTGGCTCCAAATTAGTTTAGTTTTAACTCTTAACAGCTATTGATTCTGTTTCTCTTAGCAGTTCAAAAAGGCATATTAAGCTCCTGTTATTCTACTTTCATAGATCAACAGACAGGAGTTTCTTAGAAATACCTTTGGACTAAGACGTTGTAGATTGTGTTGTTAGAGTGAGAAAGAGCTGGGCATGGTGCCTTATGCCTGTGATCGCAGGACTTTGGGAGCTGAGGCAGGTGGATCATTTGGACTCAGGAGTTCGAGACCAGACTGGGCAGCATATGGAGACCTCATCTCTACAAAAATGAAAATTGAAAAGTTACCTGGGCTTGGTGGCATGCACCTGTAGTTCAAGCCACTCAGGAGGCTGAGGTGAGAGGATCGCTTGAGCCTGGGAGTTTAAGGCTGTCAGTGAGCCATGATTGCCCCAGTGCACTCCAGCCTGAGTGATAGAGTGAAACCCTGTCTCTTTCTGAGATGGAGTCTCAGTCTGTTGCCCAGGCTGGAGTACAGTGGCATGATCTCAGCTCACTGCAGCGTCCTCCTCCCGGTTCAAGCAATTCTTCTGCCTCAGCCTCCTGAGTAGCTGGGACTACAGGCATGTGCCACCACACCCGGTTATTTTTGTTTTGTATTTCTAGTAGAGATGGGGTTTCACCATGTTGGCCAGGCTGGTCTCGAACTCCTGACCTCAGGTGATCCACCTGCCTCGGCCTCCCAAAGTGCTGGGATTACAG